CCAGTAAGATACAATGGCGAAAATATTGCACCAAGAAAGTCTGATTTCAGCTCCCACTTTCCTCAAAAACTAATTGATGAAATCCTCCCTTCTAATTTTGAATCGCCCTGTACACACACCTTCGCGAGCGCGGCAATCGAGGCTGGCGCCGCGGCGCCCTGGACGAGCTCGCGTCGCGTCGCGACGCGCGTCGCCGCTCATTGATCAGTGGTATGGTATCGGGTCAATCAGTTATCAGTTATCAGCACCTGAACTGCGTAGCTCGCGGCTGTAGCCATTCCGGTGCGATGATCTCGCGGCGAGTCTGATTCACAGCCGTGCCATTCGCCCCCCCCCCCCCCCCCCCCCCCTCTGCGCCCCGCACATTGACGAAATTACGCAAGGACGTCGCCCTGCGCAGACCGGACCGCAGACCACCGCACACTCGGCCGATTCCGTTTCGCACTCGTCAGATGGAATGGAAACCCCTACGTGAGGGAGGGCAGTGGAGTCATCCCCCCCTCCCAAGGTACTTTACGAGTTCCCCCTATCTCATTACTTTGCAACCCCCTCTCAAAAAGCCGCGGATCCCTTCCAGAGGGTATGAGAGGGGCGGGGGGCCTCTCCCATAAAATTTCAGCAATTTGATGCTCTCTAGAGGAATTTGAGGCAATAATCAGTAGTTTTGTCTCCTAGTCCACTGCATATTTTCGCTTAGTTATTACGTGTGAATTAATCATTATTTTTTTAAAAATCAAACGAAACTTTTCTTACATAAAAACGGGAGGGGAGAAGAAATATGGGGGGGGAGGGTGAAGGATCGGGGAGAAAAGAAGAAGGGGTGACACTTGGCCGGATTTACAATAACTGCCCATAAAAAATTCATCCCCCCCCCTCCCATTTTAAACTTGACAAGTTGCTCGTCTGCAATCATGACTACTTACACCACTGCTTGGGGGGGGGAGGAGCTCTTAGAATAATGACGTCAAGTGCCTAGGGCCTCCAAGGGCCAATGCAAATGAAAACAAGGTGGAAGAAACCGAGGGTGTCAATACCGCGATGGATGACGTTATAAACCGTTTTTACAAAGCGCGATAGCTCAGCATCACGATTCTGTGACCAACACAACTGATCCATTCAATCTACACCAAAACTGTACCCTGAAAAAAAAAAAACGTCCTCTACCCTGGCGAAGCGAGAAAGTAAAAATACGGGCTATGATGCTATATAGACATACCGTCAATTCCGGGCTAAGAGGCTGAAAACTACGGATGCTCTGCAGCTTCGATTTCTCCGAGCGCTCCACCCGGAACTTCCGGTCTCTGAGTTCGGAGCGCGAACGGTTATTTAACCCGTAAGTACGACTCCCACGGCCAGAGTTTTTCTCAAAATATGTGTGTTATTTGAGTATCATTTTTGACGGGTGTTTTTGGTCCACTGTGCGACGCCTCAGCGTGCAGATACGCATAATTTTGTGCCACATTCTAACACCGCACCGCCGCCGCCGCGGTTGACCGCCACTTGCTGTCGACGCGACGCGGGATTGCAGTAGTTCAACTTGGGTTGAGCAACTCGTAGCGCTACCGTCCGGTTCGCGGTGCATCGAGAGAAACATGGCGAAACTCCACGCAGGAAAGTCATCTATTAGAATCGCGGTGTCCCTTTTACAGAGTGTCCACTGCCCACTGTCCAGTTACCGAGGGAAGAGGCATCGTCAGGGTCAGGTGTATCGGCTCAGAGGGACTAGAATTCTACTCAGGGATGTGGGGTTGCTCCCCCCCCCCCACAATGCAACAACTGCCGGCTGATTATTAAAATTCATAGACAAAGCTATAGACAAGGAAGACAAAAGGGATATGGAGGGATCCTATTGGTGGATGCGGGTGGTTGCAATGGACAAGGGCACTAGGTAACAGAGTAACTAACGGCAACTCACGAGAAACCCGATAGTTAGTCCAAAATTTTCTCCCTTAGTAACCACACATTTCAACCAATAGGATCTCTGTATACTCTCTATGTCTTCTTAGTCTATCGCTTTGTCTATCGATTTCAAGTATCAGCCCGCTGGAGCCGCTTTTAGGGTCGATTTTAGACGATTAGTTTTAGTGGGCTTGGGTAGATTATTGGCAATTCGTCGTTTCTTGGACAAAGGAACATAACTCCATCCCAAGGTTGCAAAATTGACTCAAATAATTCGATTTTCTGATTCGACAAAAATTGTATTGACAAAAAGTGTTATTACCGAAAAACCAACGAGCATTCATCCTTCTTAATTCTAAAATAACTATGGCATTCAATTGAGAATTCAAATTTACAAAATGAAGGATCATATAGTGATCAGGTTTTCTCGTAATTGGACAGCTAGTGTAGAAGAAAATGCGAAGTTATGATCGGAATTACGCTGTTTTAACGAAGGGAAGAATACTTCAGCCTGTCCAAACGGTGGCGATGGAGCCAGTAAATGTCATCGCATGCGCGAGCGAGAGAAAAAAAACAAATTTGGAGGTCTCTCCTCTCTCAAAAACGCAGTGCGAATAATGGAGAGGCAATTTCGGCGGCGCGAATCGCACAATCGACTTGGCGACACTGAAAATGAGTCACATTGAACTTATGCTGTCAGTTGTTTATTGATGTTTCTTGACCTAGTGCCGACTTTTTTCCCCCCTTTCTTCTCTCCTCTCGACTTTTTCTCATCACCGATCCGGTTATATCACTCGATTTCGGATCGAAGCAGTCCAAATATACTCTTTTTGCTGATTAGCGACTGCAACTCTGCAGGGAATCGATCTCGTGTTTCAATGTGCTACCTGCTTTGTTGATGTCCTCGGTATACGACTGGGATCAATATTGTTTTGAATGATCGAAAATGTTGGTCCCTGATTAAAAATTACACTGCAAAAAAAAAACTCCGGCCGTGGAAGCCGTACTTGCGGACTATAAAGACATGTCCGTGTTCCGGGCTCAGAAGCCGAAAGTTCCGGACGTCGCACCCGGAGCGATCGAAGCTACGGCTCCAGCATCCAGAACAATCGAGCTTGGAACGGACAGTATGTCTATATAGCCCGGAACGAACAGTATGTCTATATAACCCGTAACTTTTTTTTCAGTATACGGTAAACCACATCTACCGCTAAGTTAGATGGATTTAAAGGATATTGTTTGTTGCTCATCAGTAGCGTGGCGTGCTTTGCGATTTATCGATTATTCTGCCACTTAAACCTATGGTAAAGAATCGATTATTAAGGTGTTCGCTGCGAACACCCTGATTATCGATCCTTTCTCTTAGGTTTAAATGGCATACCAATCGATATATCGCAAAGCAAGCCACGCCAACGCCACTGTTGCTCATGAGTCATGACATTTGCACACTTGCGCACTTTCCATCACGCAAATCCGTGACAGACGAATATTCAAATCAGGCCTCTTGTCAAAAGTCTGAGCAAATAGTCAAATACTAGGGGGCCGTGCCCCCTGGCCGCTATACGCGGCCCAACCCCCAGAGGACGCTTCGCCCTCGCTTAGGCCCGCTTTGGCAAAAGAAGGACCAAAATAAATGGAGAGATTTTCATACCCGACTCTCATTTGTCCAATTTCTCTCTGGCCAGGAGCGATTGGACCAATAAGAATCGAATGAAAAAATCGTCATTTATTTCAAACTTCACGCCGAGACCAGTGGCGTGGCGTGCTTTGCGATCTATCGATATTTCCCCATTTGAAGCTGTGGAAAATAATCGATTATCAAGGTGTTTGCTGCGAACACCCTGTATATCGATACTTTACCATAGGTTTAAATGGCCGATCAATCGATATATCGCAAAGCACGCCACGCCACTGGCCGAGACCGAAACGAAACGGAACGAACGGAAGGGAGCGTTTCGTTACTTTTGGACAGTCTGTAGTATGCTAGTATTTGCTAATGCATCGAAAGTAATTTATCATGGGTGGCGGTAGCCACCTCCGGACAAAGTCTAAACTCGACAACACTGGAAAGCCTCCAAACGAAAAAGGTGGCAGCCAACCATAGACACACGTAACTCCCTTATTCTGAAAATTGATTCGACTCTAGATCGACTGCAGACCAAACGACGGCACGGATTCCAACGATCTTGGTGTCTACTGACGCACCTAAATCTTAATAATGTAAAAAAGGTCACTTTCATACTGGACCCAAAGAGGCAACACCTGAGGGAAGATTAGCTCAGAATTACTGTTTAAAAATTTCTCAGATCATCAAGTTTTCCATTTCGGACAATGGACACTTAGTGCGGAGAAAACGTTACGAGCCGTATGAGAGCACCTACCAGGTTTTCTTAATGACTGTCATAAGATTTCCATCTCTTGATTACAATATTTGATCATTTCCGCGTCTAATGGTGACGTGATCGCGATGCGGTTCTCATCGTTTATAATTATTTCACTTTGACGAAGAAAAGAATCAAGGGGGAGGGGAGGAGAGGGAGGGAGACAGTGCCGCTCAAGGCCGCTTCAAAGAATTAATGCACGCGAAATAATGTTAAAGGAATGATGTGCGCATTCATGTCCACTTTTTTGTAGCGTCTAACAAATGATGTATACAAATTTTTAATTATTAGTTAAACTCTATGAAGACGTATCAACAATTTCTTTCTTTTCCCCTACGGCTACTTTCAAGCAAAGACTGAGAGGGAAAACTGGGAATAATTCCCAGTATTAATGATTGGTAGGTTTGTATCCGGGCTTTTTCTGTATTGAATGCATCTCTGATATAACCGTATCAAAAATATTAAATTACAATATTTTGTACGGGAGTCTTGTGACGATTCACGAAAAGAAAATCGCGTTCTTTTTTCTGCCCCTGCGTTAAAGTCCCTCTACTTATTAATTCTTTTTTCCGGCGTCTTTTCATTGAAGTAGTCTCTTATCATGGTGTCTGGCGCGTAGGAAATCTGAGGAATAGCGAGAATTGAAATTTAATTAACCTGACTATAAATAAACCTTAATCAAAAACTAACTTAAAAATACTAAAATATGAAGATCCTTACCCGCAGACTTCCTTGGTTACAGGAATGGTAGATGGGTGGTGCTCTGGGTCAATCCTGCAAAAATAAAAAATATAAAATTTAATATCAGCTCAACATACGTATATGTATAAAGTTTGGAGGAAATTTGAAAGAACATTGGACACGGAAACTGACCAGGATATCTCATTTTCAACCACTCGTATTTGCTTGAAACACAACAGTTAGAATTTTTTCCTAACAGTGTTCTAATTTTCTTACCTTAGATGACACCCCTGATAAATCCCGACGGATTGCCCCGGGCTGATTGTTGAAATTTATAGACAAAGCGGTTGCCATATAAGGCAAGAAGAAAATGCAGCGATCCTGTTGGTTGTAACGAGTGGTTGTTATGGACTAAGGACGGAGAAGATGCCCTAACTGTATAGGGTCCCTCACGGGTTGCCGTAAGTTATTCCACCACCCGCTTCCACCAATAGAATTGCTCAATGTTCCTTTCATCTTTTTTGTCTATAGCTTTGTTTATCGATTTCAACTATTAGCCTGCAGAGCGAGAAAACTTCAAGTTTGATGACGAAATTCCCCAACATGTCACGCTTAAGTTTATCTGATTCTTCCTGAATTTCTTAAAAAAAACTGTCACCTTGCGCGGACAATAAGGACTTCTCAACTATACAGAGAAAGACGGCAGCACGATCGTGCGTCGCATCATATTTGAACGTATTTCTGCCTAACGGAACTATGTGCATTATGACGTGAGCCCTGTTATGCATATATTCTTATTGGTCTCGGGGCTCATGTGTTAATGCACATATCTCCGTTTGGCAGAAATACGTCCACTTAACGGCCGTCGTAGCTCCGACCTGTAATCCCGAATTCGATGCGTCATGCGTCACAATTAATCACGACAAAAGCCTTTAAAAGGCTGCGATATGACGGGGACGCCGACAAAACTCGGACAGCTAACGTCACAGTCATCGACGACCAAACCGATAAAAAATGAGCAATCAATTTCCGAGTGCAGTGTACAACTGCAGAATGCACCCGGTGCTCAGCATTGCGAAGGGACCTTGCTCATTTTGAGAAATCTCTAGGATGCAACTAAACCAGCTCAAGGGCTGCCCATGTTGCATATCCAAAAAGTTGAAGGCGGTTTGACTCCTTTTGCACTGGCAGCAACACTGGTACAGCAGCGCGACTTAACGTTCTTCATTTTTGCACATTTCTAGGATGCAATATAACACCTCAAAGGATGGCTGTGTTGCATACACTCAAGGTTGAAGGCGGACTGATTTCTTTTGCCTTCGTTGTGACAGGGCGCGACGAGGCGACAGGCGGCACTCGTAGCTGACGCATGCATTTCAGTGATTATAGGAACCGTCCCGGATTATTTGGCCGTAGTCGTAGGTAGAACCTTAAATTCATTAAAAATGCGAAACTATGTAAGATTAAGATTTTAGATTCCGCCTTGTCGTACTGATTCTAATTCGTAATTTTCGTATGCTTTTCTCGCAGCCGTTTTGTCCTTTCTTGTCTTACTCTACTTTATTGAGCACCGCCTGCTGAAATTTGAAATACATGAACTTCAAATGTCTGAACATCCTAATCTTTGTCGTTTGACAATTATTTTATAACTTCTGCGCCATTGTGCTCTCATGAATATGCTCGAAACTAAACTACTCTGTCGTGCATGGCAAAAATAATTATGACATTGCAAAAAATTGGCAATCTTAACCTTTACTTCTCAGGAAATTGGATGCCGCTTCAGGGCCTCAGAAAATGTCCTTAAATATAAGAAGGAAACTACCACATGCAGAAAATACATCAGGAGCTTAGATGAAAGGGTGAACCTTTGCTGTGCGTATAATATAACATGAGTTCAGATCAAGTCAGACGTTTGATAGTGTGCGTCAAAAGCTTAACAAGTGAATGATGTGCACCTTAACTGTACAATCCAATGCAGAAAAAAAGGAGGATCCGCGAGATGATACCGCAGACGCTTGGGGGGGGAGGGGGGATTATGAGCAGAAAAAAGATGAAATACCTGAAATTAGGCAAGAGTGTACCGACGCATTGTTGACCCAAGGAGGGGATACCACCAGAGCGTAAAACTGGGAAAAGTGAAGAAATTGAGGAGAAACTGTCAAACTGATTGTGAACCGGAAAAGATTCAAAAATCTGGTGGAGAAAATCGAGACGGACGCTCACAATCAGAACTCGATACTTGGAGACATTCACAATCAGAGCGTGTTCATGCGTACATGCTGGCAGCGACGAATGAAGAGAGAATTTCGAGCACGAGTATACATGAACATATAGAAAGCCCAAGGATTGAGGAGCAATGGTTTATGTTTCGGTTCATTTTTTATTTTATTTTTTTATTTTTTCGGTAAAAATGAGACCCATTCGCAAAACTTTTTTTTTTTACGGTCCTCTTTTCTGAAAAATGATGCGAGTACTTATTTTATCTCCAAATCTGCCCTATTTGCTTCTCTTTCAACCATATGATGGTAATCCAATGTGTACTTTGTATCGCACTTCATAACTTTGAACTTAAAATTAAGTTCCTAAATCTTTGCGCTCAAATTTGTTTTGCTCAAATTAGATTTTTTGACAAGAGAGAATGTGCAATTTGTTAAAGTTCAAACTGCTTCTACTTAATCTCACTCTAAAAGGTGGCTTGGTCACTTTCCGCTACGTTTAAAAATTTTTGCCGCCATTTTATTTTTTCACAGAAAAATTTTTAGTTGAATCTGTTTAAACATTTCACTGAATTTGATCGGCAGCGCAAAGAAAACCAAGTGAAATTTTCGGACAT